GGTGCTGGGTCTGTCTCAGAGGTTCTCAGCCTGTGGGTCACTACCTCTTTGGCAAATCTGTCTCCAGAAATATTTGAATTATGATTCATAACAGTAGCAAAAGTACAGTTATGAAGTAACAACAAAGTAGTGTTATGGCTGGGGTCAGACCAGCATGAGGAGCTATAGTACAGGGCCGCAGCGTTAGGAAGGTGAGAACCACCGCTCTGTGTCTTTCACGTGGTAGATTACTCAAGTTATTAGGCTCCTTATAAATAATAACGTAACGAGCCATAGTTTACCTATCTGGGCCCATTATTAAACAGTTATAGCTTCCACAGTGTGATGAACATCTTTGTATACAAAACTTTTAGTATAAAAAATTATTTAAAATATGTTTCTTGGGAATTGGTTTACTTGGACAAAGGGTGATGTCTTTAAGGTCTGTGCTGCCACGTGTATTTCTGCATTCTGTGTTGTTCTGCTCACAGGCGCACCTTCTTAAGGCACAGATGAAGTAACTGTACTCTCTTCCATCTTTCATTTCAGGCTATTGCAAACCAGCCCTGGGCTCAGAAACTTATGTTTAACAGTCCAGGTTTTGTGGAATTTGTGATGGACCGTTCTGTGGAACATGACAAAGCTTCTAAGGATGCCAAATATGAACTGGTTAAAGCACTTGCCAATTCCAAGACAGTTGCAGAGATCTTTGGGAACTCAAATTATTTAAGACTCAGAACCTACTTAAGTGAAGGTCCATACTATGTAAAACCTGTTGCCACGACAGCAGTGGAAGGAGCTGATTGATTTCTTTCATTTAGGACAGAAGACCATGTTTTGACCAGAATTTCTCAAGGCATATGATTCCATCCATGTTTTAGAGAGCAGGGCTTCCCTCGTCCAGAGCTCCCATGGAGTGTCTGGGGCAGCCTCGCATCTGCAGTGCCGTTCCTGTGTCAGCACCGTGTGGACCAGGCAGTGGCATAGCTGTGAGCACGAGCGCTTTCCCAGGCCTCTGGTTGTCTCTGCTGCAAGGGCAGAGGTTTCTTTTCTCACCGAGTTCCCATGGGCCTACTCATGACCTCATTTAAAAATAAAATGAAGCCAAAATGACTGATTTCTTTTCGGCACCTTTTTTTTTTTTCCCTGATCTGATTCCACCTCAGAATCTTGGGTATTCCTGAAAAATAAGTCATTTGGAATCATTGAATTGTATTATTTGTACACAAGGAATAAATAGTTTTAATAAGATTTCTTGGTGACTTTTCCTTTGAAAACAAAAAATCTCTAAAAATTGTTTGGGATCGGTACTTTTGCTGTTTGTCAATTAATTTTACCATGTTATGTTACCGGGGAAGGAGGGAAGAGCTGTCATCTTACTGTGGGTCGTCTTGTGAAGGAATTTCTCTGACCCATGGGGGTTAGGTGGAGAAGACAGCGCACAAACTGATGCTGTCTCACTGGCTTCCAGATGGTTCTCCTCGCCTGTCTTCTAGTGATAATCTCGATATACAGTAAAGTGCTCCACACACAAAATTCAGTTGTCCAGAGGTTTCTGCCTGAGCTTGGCAGTGACCAACCAGTTCAGAACCAGGAAGTGTTCCTTTTAGGCTGTGTTGAGATTGATACCTCATCCCTTCCTGTGACATGATTCTCAAGTGACTGGAATCCTAGTCCAGTTCCATCGTTTCTTCTCTGGTGTCCCTTGAGTGGCCTTTTCCCATACTGGCCGATTCTCTGCTGCCAATATCACAAATTAGGACACAGCCAGATATTTCCTGGCATGAAATATTCAGAGTGACTTTTGCTGGCCTCAAACTCAGAGATAAGTATATCACATGGTGAAAAACATAGCCATTGTAAGTGTACTTTTTAGTGGTATTTTATATGTGCAGATGTCATACAGTGATTACTGCCATCCATCTCCAAGACTGCCTATAAAACTAGAATTTCATACCCATTAAATGGTAACTCCCCACCCCGCCAACCACAATCCTGAATCATAATGTTGACTTGTTTTTTTTTTTATTAATTTATTGTGTATACAGTGTTCTGCCTGCAGGCCAGAAGAGAGCACCAGCTCTCATTATAGATGGTTGCGAGCCACCGTGTGGTTGCTGGGAATTGAACTCGGGACATCTGGAAGAGAGCAGCCATCTCTCCAGTCCCTGACTTAATTATTTAACCACAAGATTCAGAGGAGGGCCTGCTCTCCTGTATATGGCCTGTATTCTCATTCTGGCTTTTCTTTTTTTAAAACAAGGTTTCTCTGAGTAGCCCTGGATCTCACTCTGTAAACCAGGTTGGCCTAGAAATCAGAAAGCCACCTGCCTCTGCCTCCTGAGCACTGGATTTAAAGGCATGCACCACCACCTGATTATCAATCAACTTCTGTGCTTTCTTTTCAGGTGTTAATAAGAGCTGTAAGTTACTATTTTTGCATTTAATAAGCAAGTGTGTATGAGAGAGTGTGACTTCCACAAACTAAAACAGCCCGGAGAAGGCTTGAGGACAAAACCAACACCAACAAAATGGCCAGGTGTGAAGGCAGCACAGGCATAGATGCACGCCTTGCCTCTGGGGTGACCAACAGCCGTTTCTGCCAGTGAACCCCAAAGATGGGGGGAAAGTTGGCACGTCTCTCAAACCTCTACAAACTGGTCCACAGACCCTCGTGGAGTTCTCCATACTCCCACTGCCAGCACCTGAGACAATATCACGGCCACCACCAGTGAGCAACCCTGTACTCCACATTGCTGAAAACGCTGTATATGCCTCATTCCTAATCCTAATCCCAAGGTTCCACAGCCCTGTGTTTAGGAAACGAGCTAGAGTGAATCCCACGGTGGGGTGGGCAGCAGCTCTGTTCTGAAACCTCTCTGCATTGCTCCATGCTCATTCCATGATGATGGGCTGTCTAGGAAGCACCCCATCTGTCCCCTTGCTGCTGCAGCTGATACACCTGACCGTTTGGAACCCAGGCCCAGCCAAACTGTGAATGACGTGTTCTTGAGCTGCATAGAGCCTTGCCCCTCAGGAAACAGACATCTAATGAAGAAGCTCTTTCCCTTCAAGGCCTACACCAATATGTCACCCTGACTGTAGGGTATGAGAGCTTTAATCCAGAGGAGCAACCTTGGTGATTGAACTTTCATGATACCCCTTCCACGGAAACATCCTTGGCTTATCTGTATCACCCCACCCTCCAGGAGGAATAGCCACCGCGTCTCACCTTCCTGCATCTGAAGTTCGAGGGCAGCCTGGTCTACTTAGCAAGTTCCAAAACGGGCTCCAAAGCTACACAGAGAAACCCTATCTATCTCAAAAATAAATAAATAAATAAAAAATAAAAAAATGGGGAAAATGTGTGAACTACAATAGCAAGAAACTGAGAAACTGATTTGTTTTGTTTTGTTTTTCAATACAGGGTTTCTCCGTGTAGTCCTGGCTGTCCTGGAACTCACTCTGTAGTTTGACCTCAAACTCAAAGGTCTGTCTGATTCTGCCTCCTGAGTTCTAGGGTTAAAGGTGTGTGCCACCACCACCTACCCGGCAAGAAACAATTCAAAACCAAGCCAAAAAAAAAAAAATTCAAATAGCCAATAGAGCTGGGCACAGTGATGTAATCTGGTAGTCGCAGCTACTCAGAGATGGAGGTGGTTAATCCAGGAATTCAAGACCAGCCAGAGGAGAGCTGGCCCCAGTGGCATGGGCCTAGGAGAGCTGACTCTGTCCCTCACCTGAGGGGGCCAATACCACCTAGCCCCGCCCCACGTCTTGGGCCTTGGGTTGGCCCACCCTAACATCTACACCATCTCTGACCTGTTGGAGTGTGAAGGGACTGGTCCTGTGGAAGCATAACCACAGGACCTCCATGACTCAGGGCAACAGCTGGAGAGCAGAGAGGCGCCCCAGAGAGGGTCCAGTGATGATCCCTTACGGCATAAGCCTTGAACTGGACCAATAGCTCATTGCAATGAGCATTTTGTGGGTGGGGTTGACTGGACAAAACGATATCTTGTGTGATACACAGCAGCACCAAAAGGCACTAGGATGGATGAAGGTGTTGGAAAGACAGAAGTGAGGTGGTTTTTGTTTTGTTTTTTAATTGACTTTGAGGGGGGGTTCTTTTGGGAGAAAGCATCAGGGGTGAGGGGAGGATATGGAAGGGCTGGGAGGTGAGTGGAATTGGGGTGCATGATGTGAAATTCCCAAAGAATCAATAAAAAATAAAAAATTAAAAAATGTTTAAAGGAAGGAAAGAAGGAAGAAAGAGAAAATAACTATCATTTGCACCAACATGTAGGAACAAGAGGACACCATGGCAAGTGAAATAAGCCAAGCTCAAAAGACAAAGAGCCACATTATCATTCACACATGCAGTGTTAAAGATGCCAAACTCAGAGGAATAATGACTTCTAGATTCACAGGGTTTTTAGTCAAGGAACCAAACAATATCAGTCTGATAGAAATAAGTTCAGGATTGGGGCTGAGAGATGGCTCAGTGGTTAAAAGCACTGGCTGTACTTCCAGAGGATCTGAGTTCAATTCCCAGCACCTACATGGCAGCTCACAATTGTCTGTGACTCCAGTTCCAGAGGATCTGGCACCTTCATACCAATGTACATACAGTAAAAGAAATAAGTTCAGGAAATCTATTATATTTCACAATAATTATAGTTAAGATAGATAGACAGAAGGTAGATCATATATATGATACACACACATACACACATGAAAACTGTTAGGAGCATACATTTTAAGTGTTTTTACCACAAAAAGTATATAAGGAAACATATGTTAAATAAATGGATTTAGGCATTCCATAATGTACTATACTATTTTTTACTCGTATGGGCCAGTAAGATGGCTCAGTAGATAAGGGTGATTTCTGTCAAGTCTAATGATTTGAGTTCCATTCCTAGAATGCACATGTTGGAAGGAGAGAACTGACTCCTCTTGTTCTTTGTCCTGTGACCTCTATACACTCCCTGTGACACAGATACATCCACATGCATCTGTACACACACAAATAAAATAAAAAATGTAATTTTTTAAAATATGTATCACTGCACACCACAATATGTTGGAATGAAACTTAATGTTCTCTCTTTTCTGAAAGACTTTATTTTGAAAAGAATCATACCATACTAATCTAAATGTCTTAAAACATCAAAGAGAAGATGTCAAGACTGAGTACATCAGAGCACTAGGAACGTTTTGTGGTTTTCCTAGGCATGAATAGAGATCCAGAGCTGTTACACGACATGAGGACATAGAGCGGCTTCCTACACTGAGCCAACAGCAACTTAAAAACAAGTGAATACTACCCACAAAAGTGCACAGCATTGCCTTGTGCAGTCCCCACGTGAAAACAGCCAAAGCCGTCGAGGTATGTCAGAAGTTTGCAGGAAATGAGCCCATAGTAAGTCTCAAACAGTGAACATCCTTTCCCATCATTCATTTCTCTCCATGCCAGGGAAGTTTCAGCATCTGTAGCTTCTGAGGATGTAAAGATGAACTTGTAGCAACATCTGTTTTATACAATGTGTCTCTTCTCAGAAAACCTTGAGCTATGGATGGGTATAAGACCATCGGACTTCTCCAAAGCTACAGAGAAACCTTGTCTTGAAAAAAACCAAAAACAAACAACAACAACAAAAAAGACCAACAGACTTACCACAAATCCCTATAAATGCATCAGCCGGTATCACTGTAGGTGCTTCATTCAAAACCACATACATGTCTGAGCCGCGTCTTGGGGCATTGTAAAGGCCTCATCACTGCAGCAGCCAGGGTACTCACTAAGAGGGACAAATTCTTGGCTAGGGGTCTCTATTAGGATTATCTTGGTGAGTAACACTTCCTACATAGATACCTTCTAGATGTTCTTTTAGACTGAGTAGATAGTCCACCAAGCCTGGTAGATTGATAAACATCTTTTCGTCAGCTTTGAATATGAACAGGGCATTAGGACAGAAAGTCACAGCCCACTGCTTCATTGAGATGCTCTTCGGGGTTTGGTTTTCAGAACTGTCCAAGAAGATCCCTTCAATTATGTTGTTATTCTCCTGAGACTCGATGTCTGTCTCTTCCTGGGTAGTTACCAGAGCTGCCGTTCCCAGAGCAAACAGTGCAAGGACTGGGTAGCCTTGGACACTGGTCACACTACCCCAGGTTGTCCTCATGCACTCCCTTCTTGTTCCATTCCCTGGACTACTGAAGATAGAGAACGCAGAAAGATGGGCTTCCCGTTACATGCCTCCGGCTGGCTCAAAACATAGTCCTTGGAGGGAGTACCTCTTATGAATCCCATGTTGGGTTTTCTTGCCTTGTTCTTAATTTCAAGAATTTTCATATCGACGTGAGGCAAAGCATGTAAAAAGTATTCTTCCATGAAGTCAGCTCCAAAGAGCAAAGCATGAGATAGGATAACATTAAACAGAATGAAACGCCACTAGTGAGTCCGAAGTCTGCAGAACGTCACCTAAGTAAGAAAGGCGGTTACGAGCCTTTTAAACTTCATTCCGGTCCCTGTTCATTCCTCCCACCAGCCTGAAGGGCTTCTCACAGCACTTAGCAGTACATTCTATTTTAAATGTTTATTATTACTTCTTTCTTCTACTAGATTTTAGTCTCCCAGGTCACAAGCATTATGTGTCTCTCTTCTCCAGCATTTGCCAGAAAATGGACACTGAGCACAATGTTAGCAGTTTACTTCCTTGTTTGGGTGGAAGTTTATATACATACACACACACTCACACACACACACACACACACACACACACACACACACACAATTATAAACTAGATACTGTGTTATACACTGGAGATACAAAGAAGGATCAGGCACAGCTGTATTGATGCCACATATCGAATGACATAATCATTTAATCATTGTTATTAAAACCTACAGGGAACATACACATAACTCTTCCTTGAATGGAAGCCCTTGGATCAGTTTCCTCTCTAATTATAAAGGTCAAGGATTGTTTTCCATGATGTGGTTGCTTTAGGTGTCCACCACACCCTGGCTATTTATCAGACTTACATTTTAGTACAACTTTCAACCTACTCTGATACTGAACAGACTGTTTTGACTGACTCTCCCTATGCATCTGGCATGCCTGTGGATGTGGGCAGATTCCTACTATCTGCAGGGAGCATTCTCTGCAGAGAGCTAGGTGGACCTGTGTCAAGTTTATTCCACCTCACTCAGAGAGAGGGACAGTGCCCACCCAGAAGGGAGCGTGCGGAACTGTAACAGACCAGGGACCTTTAAAGGACTCAGAACTGTGTTAGAGCCTGTGCTTAGGAAGTGGCTCAAGTGAGCTGCCTCTCACTGGGCCTTTGCTGGGTGCCAGTGCCCTGCTGGTCACTTTATACTTACTGCATTTAGCCACAGTGACACCCCTTTGGGTAGATTAACTTCCAAATCCAGATGAGCACCTGAGAGGTTTAATAATTTGCCTAAGAGTGCACTGTGGGTAAGAGGCTCTGGTTCTGAACTCGGATCTGCCAGTGTCTAAAGTTCACTGTGACTACTGAGGACCTCTGACCCCACTTTTCCCTCGCCATGCCGATGGAATAGGAAAAACAAAGCAGAACTTGCAGTGGCAAACGGCACTCCTTGCCATTTTTCTCAGTGCTAACAATTCACATGCAGAACGGTCTATTTCAACAGCTATCGAACGCTTCGGAGATGATTCGAAACTTACCTGCATGTTGTCTGCGAGCAACCTTGGGGCTTTGGAAATGATTAAGTTCACATGCCAAGTTCTGCACAAGAGAATGCTGGGCTAAGTGCAGCCTGGCGGCAATTGTAGTAAAACACCTTGAGCCTCAGACTTTAAGGATAAGGCTTCTACCCAATCACCCTGAGCTTCTGTCCCAGAATACCAGCCACCTACATAGGACAGGCTAGTATGTCCTTATCGTGTTCTGACTGGTTAGAATCTAGAACAAAAGAGGAAAAGCAAGCCTTTTTATGTGTTCTCCCTGTGCGTCTCATGGAACAGACTCCTTATCGTCATGCTGAGCTCCAGGTAAAATACATGTAGAAGTTCAAAGAACCCGTCACCCACACCGTGATTGCACCTCCCAAAGAGAAAAACAATGTGTGGGTGTCTCTTGGAAATAATGCCTAATCCCCAGTACATGATAAAACCACTCTAAACATTGAGAAATAAATGCCCATATTTTTTCTCCCCAAAGAAACATTATATATTCAATGTGTCTCCCTGAGAGAGATTCTGAATTCCTGCTTTAAGTTATGTACGACATTTACTAAATCATAAGAAATCTTGCTGGGTGGTGGTGGCTCATGCCCTTAATCCCAATACTCGAGAGGCAGAGGCTAGTGGATCTCTGAGTTCAAGGCCAGCCTAGACTATAGAGTGAGTTCCAGGACAGCCAGGGATACACAGAGGAACCCTGTCCCGAAAAACAAAAGGAGGAGGAGGAGGAGGAGGAGGAGGAGGAGGAGGAGGAGGAGGAGGAGGAGGAGGAGAAGAAGAAGAAGAAGAAGAAGAAGAAGAAGAAGAAGAAGAAGAAGAAGAAGAAGAAGAAGAAGAAGAAGAAGAAGAAGAAGAAGAAGAAGAAACTGCCATAAAACCAGATGTGGTGGTGCACAACTTTAATCTCAGCACTTGAGAAGCAGGTGAATCTTTCATATGGAGACCAGACTCGTCTACAGAACTAGTTCCAGGACAGTCAGGGATACAGAGAAACACTGTATCAAAAACAAACACAAACAAACAAAAGTGTAAGTCCTTAGGGAAATAAAGGGAACTAGAACAGTCAAGAAAACAGATTTTGTGGGAGAACGCCATAATGAAACAATATTTTGTGTAGTAATTCAAAAAATAAGTAAAAAAAAAACACCGAACAATAAAAAGGAATTATGGCACATGCACATACATACACACACACGCGCGCACAGACATATACACACACAGACACAGACTCACAAACAGGCCCTTAAAGTTGTGTGTGATCTCTCAACAACTATCATCTGGTCTTGGGAATCTTTAACAAGTGGGAAAAGGACTTTTTATATGTACTGAATCTAACAATTAAATGTGTCTTATATTATGTTTTTGAAAGATTATGTTTTCGTAATTTTCTTTTTCTGGTGACAAATTTTGCTCCCAGATCTTCTCTAGGCCTCAAATTTAGAGTGAAGTTTTTTTTTTTTCTATGAGAAGGCCAAGTATTATGACCTCTGGGTAAGTTCCATTTAAAATTTGCAGTTTGGCTTATCAAACATCTACCCAGTGGAGGTTGAGACCAGGGCAGCAAACAAATGTTGGTACATGGCTTTCCTTCCAGCCACCCCTTTCATAAAGGTTGTCAAATCCATATGTTCATCTCTCTCTTAGTTTCACAGAACGCTCTCAGCAATCAATCTCTGATGTAGCTGTTGACAGTGTCTTCCTGTGCCTGTCAGATCAAAGTTGCTCTCTTGGGATCTGGTTTTGAGGACCACACACTTGGCTTCCACCACTAAGGATTATTTCCAATGCTTGACATGCTCCCGAAGCTCCAGGCACGTGGAACCTTCCTGTACTCTACTGCAAACAGCATATGTGCCCAAAACAAGAGTCTAGTGACCACGTTATTCAAGGGAACCAAGAGGACATCTTTGTCATTGCTGGGGTCTCACTGGTGCTCTTGGGTATGTGTGCCCACGAATGCAGTGCCCATGAGTGCAGCTTATGAAGCCCAGGAAGGCGCAAGGGGATAGTTGGTGTTCTGAAGTTGATTTGTGCTTAAATCCTATGACAGTTAGTGACTAACTATAGGCAGGATAACAAAATCATCTCTAACTATAGGGATAATAATGGTAACTATCTTATAAAATTGTAAGAATTTAAATAATAGCATATATAGTGTCTTTAGAAAAATGTACGACTGTAGCTGATCGCCCCCAACTGCTGAAGTTACAACCCTATTTGGGGCTGTATGTGTAATGGTGAAAGTAAGATGCTGTGGATCCCGAGTGGCTGCAGCAGGACATGAGACCATGCTGTAGGTCCCTGAGCCGGGGAGAAGGGGAGCGAGCCCCAGAGCAGCCAGTCCCAGGCAGGGACAGCACAGTTCCTCAAGTGGCTGCAGCAGACCATGAGGAGAGACAGACAGATGGGCACTCCACGAAACCACGCTGCAGGTCTCCAAAGGTGGCTGCTCCTGGGCAGGAGCCATGTGGCAGGCAAGAGACAGAGACATGGCTAGGCACCGCCATGCAGAGTGAGGTTGGATATTTATTTAGTGGGTTATGGAAGGGAAGGGGAGGAGAAAGAGAGAGAGAGAGAGAGAGAGAGAGAGAGAGAGAGAAGAGAGAAAGAGAAGGGGTGAAGGGGAGAAGGGGAGACGTGGTGAGAATGGAGACCTGTGGCATGGTCTCATGGCATGCCCATCTGTCTGTCTCTCCTTGTGGCCAGCTGCAGCCACTCGGGAAACTGCACTGTCCCTGCCTGGGACTGGCTGCTCTCGGACCGGACCACTGTTTGCTTGGACCTGCAGTGTTTTTGCTGGTACAGCCTCTGGGAATCCGCAGCATTTTACTTTGGCCATTACAGTATGAAGCAGTCTGTACCAGACTGTTTAGTTGGGGGCTTCACCCCAGCCCCCTGGCATCCATCTTGAATCGTTGGGTGGAAAGTTTCATTTCAAAGCTCCCTCCCCTGAGAGTTGCCTCAGTCCAAACTTTGCCAAAAGGTAACCCTTCCTTCAGGAGGGTCAAGACCACTCCTACAGGCTATTTAAACTGCCCCCCAAGAATGAACACGTAGTCTCACGGTTTTCCGTGGTCTGTTCCCCTCTCCATGTTTTCCTGGGATGGGGGTGGGGCACCCAGGAATGCTGCCATCCATTAAATCTGGTCTCTCTTCTAGTTTGGTCTGATTTGGTTTGATTTGGATTATTGCGCCGATGGAAAGGTTTGTCAGCCAAGGAAAAATACTTAACACATACTTCTGGCTATTACAAGTATTCGTGGACTTAGATGACCTTGTAACCATTTCTACCTATACCGGGTGAGGAGCTCTTATTCTAGCGGCTTAGAAGCTCTTCTGACTGCAGTGACTGGTCTTAAAGGAAAAGGCTGTAATTGGCCCAAACACAAACTTCCATAACTGTGCCTGATACAGACCTTTCTCTAGCCATATAATCAGTCTACTCAGACTCACCCAGGGTGTCACCCGGGAGACAGTCTCGTGTGCCCTCTACTCTCATGTTGCAACATTAAACGTAGTAAAAGGCTCTTCTCACCAGTGATCTCACCAACTTTCAGTAGTGTGGACTGGGCTGGAAACAACAGAGAAGACACAGAGAAGGGAGGATGATGGAGTCAGGAAAATCAGCCATGGTAGCAAGAGCCTACTGGTTTGGTTTTTGTTGTTGTTTTTGTTTTGTTTTGGGGTTTTTTTGGGGGGTTCTTTCAGTTTTTTGAGACAGGATTTCTCTGTGTAGTTTCAGAGCCTATCCTGGCTGGCCTCAAACTCACTGAGATCTGTCTGTCTCTGCCTCCCGAGTGCTGGGATTAAATAAAGGTGTGCACCACCACCACCTGGTGAGTCTAGAGGTTTTAAGAGCCAAAGTTAACCTGTAAATCCCATTTGTAGCTTCCTGGAATGCTGGGCACTGTGGTTCTCGGTAATTAACAAACCACCTGTTTTCACTCCCCTAAACACATGTGTTTGCATCTGATGAGCTTCACTGGATGTGGGCAGGAGGTATGTAGGTAGAAAATATGGCAGGATATATATATATATACTTGCCCCTCATTAGACCTAATGGGAAATACGGTGGCCCTGTGGGAGCTTTTTGCCTTTTTAAGACTCTGTAAAAACTGACTCGTGGCCATGGGAACCTTCGAATGGACCTGACCAGAGTCCAACATTCTGGCCAATATTAAAGCTTGCTTCAAATCTGACTCAAAATTGAGAAATTGGTCTTTCTCTTGTGAATTTCAGGTTTAACACAATCAGCACGGAAAAACCTAAAAAGCGGCAAGCTGTTTGACAGCTGAAGGAGCAGTAGCAGAGGCATTTCAGAGTGATCTGGAAAGGAGAAAGGACACAAGGAACAGATGGCAAGAGAGGGCAGAGAACTTGTCAGCTTCCGCCAGGGAAGCAGTCTGCCTCGGCTGCCAAAGCACTTGCTTCATCATCTGTGACCAGGTGCCTTCCGTCGTCAGCTGGGCAACATGCACACCCTTCAAAAGTGCCACTAGCAGAGCCCTCTGCCTCCTTACTCCCCTCTTTGCTCTTCTTTCCTCTCTTACCCCTCTGCTCCCATCCTGCCTCTTCCTCTAGTCTCTCTGTCTGTCTGCTTCTCTCCTGTCCCCACTCTGATACAGCCTCTCCCCCTCCACCCCCCCACAATAAACCTGTCTCACTAGCTCAATCAGCTCGTGGTGATTGCTTAGTGGCATAGCTTGGCAGGGCCTGCCAAAAAGTGCCCACTTCCCCTCTTTGTCCTTTCAGAGCAGGAGAGACGTTTGTATTAACTGAGAAGGAAGACACTGCAGGTGTTTTTTGACATCTCCACCCCATCCCCACGTAGACTTGGAACTCTTGATTCTCCTGCTCCTGCCTCTCAAGTGCTGGGATTATGCACATGGGCCACTACCCCAACTTGGCTGTCAAGTCTTTAAAGCTAAGGTTCTCATGCACCATTGGCCAAAAGCTACAAAACTGTCAGGTGTTAAGGGGGAAGGAAT